AACAGCAAATTACTAATCAGAATTAACAAATGGATGTTTCAATCGAGTATTCCAGTAATCACTGGAAGGTCCAAAGTATAACGTGAATATCGGGATGTGCGATGATTGTGGAATCGTTAAGAATCCAATGGAAATCGGAATATCCGATGACCTATCCAGTAAAGCGCTTTTTTTATAATCATGAGATAGTTCGAATGGAGATGGCAGACGACAGACAATGAAAAGGAAAAGACCGACAAAGGCCGCGATAGGTCGATTTGTGCCTAGTGGTCCTTGGAAAATGTCATTAATGAGGAAGTCCGACACCTTTGCTATACTGAATACTTTATTTTCACTCCTTCATTTCTTTTTAGGAAACAGTGATGTCGTCTATGTGGTTTGCTTTGACTCAAACCTCTCTGCGATGAGACGCAATTTAATTGCTCCAAATTTGTGTGAACATAGCTACGTCCGGAATACCGGCTAAACGTGATCTTCCCTTAGCTGCATCTTTCATTCTTCTAAATTCGTTACCCCGTGACAGAATTAAAAACCTTTTGTGTGATTTATACATTTATACTGATGACTAACACAACTGGAAATAATTTATTAATCAAAGGTGATGAACTTTAAGAATTGTAGCTTATGGTAAATACACGACACCCATTATGTTTACAGATCAGCACTCTTAGACAGGTTTGTAATCCAGTTTCGTTTCCAGCCTCTTCGCATCACCCACCTAAAAAGTTTCAAAATTAGATTACGGTAATTTTGGCAAGGTAGAAGGATATAAAATCAAAGCTATTCAGTTTTGAAAAATTGCTCAATAATCCTTGCCTTCCGCACAGCCTTCATGAAATCTTCTTCAATTACATACTCACGCTCGGCTCTGATTGCATAGAGACCTGGATAATAATAGCAATACAAATAGATGTATCTTAGACCATCGTAGAATAAAAGAAACACACCAGCTTCCGTGCACACATTACGCAAATCTGCACAAGAGAAACCATCAGAGAGCTTGACTACTGCTTCGTAATCTATATCACCGTGCTTGGTAATGGGATTAGCATGAATTTTCAAGACCTGCAATACTATGGCTGTTGCAATTCCAGTTTGAGAAGTAATGATTTTCAAGTGCAATCTCAAGAAACCCACCTCTAACCGAGCCTGTTCGTTTGGTAAGGGAATTTCTACTTTGCGATCAAGACGACCCGGACGAAGTAGAGCGGGATCGAGCGTGTCAGGACGGTTGGTAGCCATGATGACCTAAATGCTCATCAATAGTGATAAGGTAGCAAACAAAGGTAAGTTAGAACCTTACCTTTACTTTACCCAATGAATCGAATCCAT